TTTAATTGTATTATTTGAAACAGAATTCATTAATGTCTTTAAATATGTTTGCCAGAAGTCATAATAATCTTTGACGGCCTCATCTTGATCTATATTCTAAGGCAAATATAATATATTAACATTGATATGCTATCAAAATTCTAAATTATATAGTTTAATAATATTTTACCGTTTGATTTTTATTGAATTCGCCATTATTCTCTTCCTAATTTACTATTCGTTCCTACAAAAAATATATACTCTTTATTATAACAGTTTGAATTGCTACTTCAGACATATGAAATTTAGTCATAAAGCAAGTTCAAGTGTAACTTATACATACCAACTTATCCTCATTAAATTCAATAGCAGAACCGATCTCTATTTTTTTACATTAATAGAGGACTGATTCACACATTTGATTTTTAAGCTCTTCAATAATTCGACATGATAAATGCTTTTGAATTAATTCCTCAATGTTACTAAAAAGTTTTTCTATAATAAACGGTTGATGATATATTAATGACTTATATTTCCATGTTATAAAACTCGCATTCAGGGCTTCTTTTTGCATCCAAAAATCAATAGCCTCAATTACATCAATCATACTTGAACTAGAAGAAACTTCTTTGTGGATAAAGGCGTTAATTGATTCAACGTGTTGTGTTGATTGCATTCCCGCAGTAAAAATTTTATTTATGAATGCGCAAGCCCAGGATTGTCGATTTGGATAAAGAGTGTTATACAAATAATCATGCGCATTAGGATATTTTTCAATTAAAGCTTGAAACTGTTGTTCAAAAACATTAACACTCAATGAATTTCGAGCTTTCCAGAATTTATTAATAAATTCTTTGAATTTCATGTGATCAAGCTTGGATTTGAGTCTTTTTGGCAAATTTTGGAACAAATGCCAAATACAATATATGTGATATGTATTTTTATACACATTTTTAATAAAAACATTTGGCTCAGAACTAGTTGCATCCAGTGTTTGCTGCAAGACCCACTCATAACTTTCTTGTGTCTCATCATTTAAAAAAGCCTATGCACCAAGACGTGATTTACCTTCACTGTCAACAAGAATAAATAATGTATTTATTTGTTCTTGAGGTATTGTCATTCAAAACAACATCAAAATAACAAGACCACAATAAAATTTGGTTTGCTGTCATCCAAAATATACCGCATAACCGATTACTATCTACGTTAATTAGTAGTTGCATGAACATTGTAGGTCCTTCTTTCTGTTAGTTAAAAAGAAATTTTAGCAAATGAGAAGCGTCAGATCCAATAACCTTTTTGTCACGTTTAATTTTCCTATGAAACATTTTGATTTAAAAATAAAAAAAATTACGCTTTTAT